AACTCAGAATATCTATGGCTTAGTTTCGGAGCGTGATATGCGGTTTAAACAGCAGCTATTATTATAATAAACTATTCTAAAAGAAATTACGGCGCTGCTCGTCTTGGGAGGGGCGTTCTGTACTTTTGCTATTTTCCTTTCTTAGTAATGAATTCTGGAGCAGGTATTCTGTGGAAAATAAAGGAAGGAGGAGGAGGGGAGGGGGATATGGGTGGAATTCGATGGTATCCTCGTGAAGATCTACAGTTACTGTTATCCTAATAGGATGACCGTGTTTCAGAATTTTCATCTGCGTCACCCCGAGCACCTTTCTATATTATTATAGACTTGAGCAAAAGGGTTCATCCCATCAACGCACCCTGGCTGCGCAGGAAGTGCTTTATGCACCCTCTAAGGGGGAAATCGAGAGGGAGTTGCAGGAATGGTAAGATGGTGGGTAGTTTTTCACAAGGGAGTAGTAGGGAAATCTTGGGCTGTTGTTCTGGAAGGAGTTCGTGGGGTCGTACGACGTCGTCATTTCACTCATCCTCATGGCTGTACCCTAATTTGGGGCCAGAAAAGACTTCATCTCCCATACGGTTATTTTGGTTTTGCACAAGTAGCCCTCCTCTCTCATGCTCTTTTTTGAAATAAAGATAAAAACTTGATTTGCGTACAAATAAAACATTATCTACTTGCCTTCGTCTGCTCAGTAGGAAGAGGATCATGAGGAATATCCGTTCTCGGGTCAACTTGTTGAGGTGTCGCTCTTCCCAAACACTCACTTATTGTCGGTGATGCAGAACCAGAATCGCCATTGTTGTCGGCTAAATTAGGGATTTAAAACTGGTTTTCGCAAGAAAAAGGAAGAAAATAAATGTGTTCAAGAAAATACTCCAATAAAAACAAGCAAATCGATAGCACATCGGCGGTTGGTTTCGCTGGGTGCTCAGAAGAACCTTTCATTCCATCAATCTCTGGGTCTAATCAATGTGTTGAGGTTAACGACTACGCCCTTAGCGGGGCTCCAGGAACGGAGGAGTATTCGAAGACACAAGACTGCGCTACGTGGACAACAAACTTAAGAGAAAGATTGAGAGGGCTGGAAAAGGCGCTGGAAGACGAGCAAGGCGACAAAGATGGGACTTGAATAGAACACCTGTATTTATAGGTACGTGGCCGCTGGCATACATATCTCGCCCTCAGATGGGTGAAAAAAGAATCTTCTACGAATGGCATCCTTTGACTTCGTCAGTCTTTGTGGTGCTGCGAAAGTGGTTCAAGTTCTGGATTGACCACTTGGAAGCGATTCTGCCCATTAAGGGTTATAGGGCTGGTTAACCGTACCTCGCCGTCAAGCCCAAAAGTATTTCTCGTCAGATCTTCTCGCCAAGTTTTCGCGGTGAGGAAAACAAGGATGAGGGAAGATAGAAGGGGGGGGGAAGGGACTGGAGGATGGAAAACGGGAGACTACGGCTGACAGATGACCTTAGACCTTATTTGCCCGTCAAGTAAACGCGGAATCTGTCTTTAAGCATGAGTATCCATCTACACCAGAGGATCTATGCAAAGCGGAAGACGCCTTCAGCACAGCATTAACCTCGTTGAATGAAAAACCAGAGGCCATAGCTATTCGAACTGCATACCTTGGACATCTTCAAGACGTAGCCGTTTAGCGACAGGAGAAGCAGTCTGAAATTGAAATCATCAAATCGATTCTAACTTTCCTCGCTAAGAAATACAGCAATTTGTTTCTTACACTTTTCCTAGAGGACTTCGTGCTATGCGTTTCTGGATGATCACGCTTCTTTGAAGAACCTTCGGTATCTTTCTTGCCCTTTCGGGCTTCATGCTGCACCCAGTAGTCATTGATCGCCTCCGGACAATCCTGCAAAGGTACTGAATGGAAACAGAATCAAAATTACACTTTGAAAATTATCACAAGATTGCTGAGTTATGGGCAAAAGTCAGTCCCCAGGCAGGACTCGAACCCACACCTCACACTTATAGGGCGAGTGCGCAATCCATAACAGTATGGATACTTGCCATTTTAGAGTAGTGAAGCCACTCATCAAACTGAGGCGACCATCCTCGCCATCGAACTTTGTACTCCATTCCCCCACGACGGTTTCGATGGTCGACGATACATTCGACCTGAAACAACTCTCGGACATTCAATATGCGCGCAGTCAAGAAAAGACCACAAAAAAATAAAAGAAACAGAACGTGAAAACGAAGCAGATGACGTGAAGTTTACCTCATAAGCCTCTTCCGTCACCTCACAGTCAGATGGAACCTGAAAACAAGTGAAGAATAAATCCATTTTTTATTTCCCTAGTAATTCAAAGTTTTCTGTCCACTAAGACGTATAGTATAGTACGTTGCGGACGAAGGAGTGTATCAGGCGGAGGCGGGCCAAACCCGTTCTCCACTAGTCGATGAAGCAAGCAAATAACAAAATCTATACTGCCCGACACCTCTTCATCCGTAGCGAACTAGAGTTCAGAAAATTACCTTCGTCCAGTTCTACTTTAAGAGCCCTCTCTCCAAAAAACGAATTTAAAAAGGAAGCACTCTCCTACCTCTTCACCTACCGGAGTTCCAGTGCGACGAGCTTTTCTTGACTTAGTTTTCTTGCCCATTTCTGGAAAGAGTAATGAGTGAAGGATAACTGAACACAATGAACAACAAATAAGTCGATAACTAATAATAGTCGAACAAATATCGTATAACTTATACACAGTATTTTCGAAGAAATTGGTTGTTTTCGTGCTATAACTCGACCAGTCATGGTATTGTGCTTGCTACCAGGTTGTTAAGTAACTACTTCATACGGCCAATGTTTCGCCGTTCCGTCGTTACCAAAGGCCTAAACATGGCTCAAACCTCAAAGCAGATCCCGCGCTTATCGAATTTGTAGGATTACTTTCTTACTCAAGTAGTCCG